AATTTGCGACTAATCTAACTTACTCTGAGGTAAAGTATTGTCTTCAATGAGCTCGTGTTCTTCTCAATTGATCAACCAATCGACGTATAAAATTTTCAAGTTGAGCTCGAGCTACTGGCAACTCGCTTATATGACGTCCTTTTTTAACTTCGACTTGGTGTGACATCCTATATCGTTAAGTAGTGTTAATTTTGAAAAGACTAGTTTGGTAAGTTTTAGTGAGAGTTTAAGTTTGTATCAAAATTATATTTAAAATAAAATAACCAATGTTGATTTGACGTAAAAGTAGTAAAAAGATGAGTGAAAGTAACGATTAATTAAAATTATGTAATTGAATGAATAGTGAATTAAAATTAATATGATGAATAAGAATAAGTTACTGATATTATTTAATTATATTTATAATATTAAAAATTATGTAAGTAAGTTAAAGTTAAATATATATTGAGATGGATAATTTTTTATTTTTATTTATTTATTTTTTCAAGCATCTGCAGATAGTGATCGGAAAAAACATTCTTCTCAGATTAAACTTAAGAAACTCCATTGATGGCTGAATCAAAACCGAACACTAATCCTTCTCCATCCTCAGGTATTGTGCCTCTGTTTCTGATTTCAATTCCTTGTTTCCTTCAATTAATTCTCACCTAAATGTACGATCAGATCTCCGATCAAATCTTTTTTTTTTTTTTTGATACTCCCTTCTGTCTTTTCTTCCTCTTTTTTAGAATTGAGCTTTGATTATATATGAAACATTGGTGCTCAAGATTCTAATAATCGTGTGTGCAGGGAAATATGTGAAGACGCTTAACTTGTTCGAGAGAGTGAAGGAAGAGTTTGAGGCAGTTGTGCATAATGTAAATCAAGGGCATCACAAGGAAACTCATGGGTTGCGCGATGATATCGACGGGGATAGCTCCATTGATGAGATAAAGGCTCCGAACGTGTTGGAGAGAGCCAAGGAGGAAATCGAAGCAATTGTTAGCACAATTCATCCGAAAAAGGAATCGAGAGATTTCGATACACAGTTGTCTGGTGAAGCGAGGTACCGCGAATTCCAGTGGGTCGTGATTTTGTAAATTGTAGTATGAGATTTTTATAAATGTGGTGTTGGTTAGTGAAAATCTGGTTATTTGCAGGGATTTTGGTACAAAGGACTCTTTGAAGCTCGAGGAGCCCGAGTTGCATTCAGGTTTTGATTTTGGTTATATTTTTGCTTTTCGAAGTGTTAAAATTTAAAATCATTTGTGTGATGCAAGTATTTTGATTAGTATATCTAATCACATGTTAGCTCATGACCTGTTCCAAGGTTTTATGCTGGAAACTTTGTTAAGAAATTGCTGCTAACAGCCTGGAATGAATGATAAAGTTTGTTCTGTAGTCAGCCAGGGTATAAGTAGAATGTGCAATTGTCAAACAAGAAAACAAATGGAAGGAATACCGAATAGGGTATTTGTTTAAAACGGGCTGAAATGATTTAGTCCAGACCGGCATTTTAGGCATTTTATGTGCTGAAAAGTAGTATAGAAGCAAAGATAAAATGAAATGTTATTTCTTGTGATTCTTCATTGAAGACGAAGGTTTCTCTTGGTTCTATTTGAACTATTTTGGTTGAAAATCTTTTGGTCTGCAAAGTAGAAAATCATTTGTTGCGCAAATTGTATCTCGATCGGGCTGAACCGCGCCTAGCTGGTTTGAACCGCCTTGATGCCTCCGACGACGGGAGGGGTTCCGACGGAAAACACTCATGACGCTCAAGTGAGCCCGACGTCCAGCAGAAATAAGTCGAGAGAGTATATTTACGTGTGTTGTGTAAAAATAATAAACCTCCTTTTATAGTTGAGGTTACGCCTAAGTTGAAGACTTCTTGTTGGACAAGATGTCTTGTTGGTGTCTATCTCTTAATTAAGTCAAAATATCTCCGAGTCATCAAACTTCTTAACGTTGCCAACTTCCTCATAACTTGATCAAGAAGCTACCTCATGGCCCTTCATGGCCCTGGTCCCCTCGTTAGAAACCTTTGGTCGAGGTGCCTAGGTGATCATATCTGCCGAACTCACCAACCTCTAGTACTCCGCCGGAGTGCTTACACCAAGCTAGTCCTTCTATTCACTTCAAAGGTATCGAGGAGGACACTCACACTGAGCTCCTTCACCCCACACGCGACCGTGCCTAACTACAACTAAGCTCGGCCTATGAGTGGTCCTAAACTGCTACTTCTGGCCGTATCTTCTAGCCCCCACCCATTTCTTGGACAAGCTATCACACCCTGTCCCAAGAAATGAAAAAATCAATTTTGTTGGGATAAGTAGCCCCACCGTCGTACGAGTTCTCTTTTCGTTGGCTAGACCGACCTCTCAAGCTTGAAAAACATCTCTGACTACCACTGGTAGTAGCGATTTGGCCGGTGTACCCCCAGCCTAACTAGGTGCCGAGCTGAACTCCCCTAGGGGTGTTCATACCGACTAAACCGAAGTACCAAAACCGAACTAATCGAGTTCCTCTGTGTCAAAAACTGAACCGAACCGACCGACCGACGATTTGCTTAAAACCGAAATATAACCGAACTCTTACAAAAAAAAACATTTTTTTTTTACCCAGATCCACTGAATATAAAGAGACCGTAAAAGACAATTCAATGGGAACAACAAAAAATGTTTAGCATAAGCAACCGAAAAGAGTTCTCTACACAAGCCAACATAACAAGAAACAAGAAATGAAGTTCAAAAAAATCATACCTTGAAAATAAAACTGAGATTTTGGGAGGGAGAGAAAAAATCGGGGAGACTTTCGCCCTTGACGGTGAACAAGTGCAACCGTGTGCCCGGCGAGTCGATGCAGAAATGAGGGGATGATTTTTTTGCTGAGCGGACAATTCGGGGGATGGTTTGGATTCGGGCGATTTAGGGTGGACTGCGGAGGAGCAGTGACTTGGGGTGCAGAGGCAGATGATTTGAGGATGGCGGCGGAGGATTTGGGATCCCGTTTCTGAAATGGAAAGGAGATAAGAGTTACTGTACTTAGTTAGGGTTATTGTATTTGTATAGTTGTATCAAAATAGTATATTATAATATATAATATGGTATTATATATAACCGACACCGAACGAAATAACTGAACAATAGGAAATTGAAAGCCGACTACTGATCGAGTCAAACAAAAACCGAACCGAAATTTATGGTTCGGCCGGTTCGGTCGATTTTAGTCAAATTTTGCACACCCCTAAACTCGCCTATGCTGAGGTGAATGCCAACGCGCGACACGCCGAGCTCCTACGCCGGGGTGCCGATATGTCGAGCTGCTAGCCAACACCGAGATGCCGAGCTGACGCAATCTGCCGAGCTGCTGCGATGAGGTGCTGCCCGGTGCCGAGCTGCCGCGAGCTGGCGAGCTGGCGAGCTACGGTGAGGTGCTGGACCCGACGCGTGACGGACGTCGACCTGCCTCGAGCTACCACGCGGAGCTGTCGCCGACTTGCCGACTTGCTGAGCTGCCGAGCTTCCGCGCAGTGCCGAGCTGCCGAGCTTCCGCGCAGTGCCGAGCTGCCGCGAGTTGGCGAGGTGCTGGAGCCGATGCACGACTGACGCCGTATTGCCGAGCTGCCACACGGAGCTGTCGCTGACACGACGACTTGCCGAGCTGCCACGTTGAGGTGCCGCGAAGTGCCGAGCTACCGCGAGTTGGCGAGCTACGGCGAGGTGCTGACCCTACGTGCGACGGACGCCGACCTGTCGAGCCGCCGCCGACCTTCCGAGCTGCCATCCGAGCTGCCGTGCTGGGAACATGCGCGCCATCCAACCCGATCATACATGATGGCTCTTTCTTCACCTACCTACCACCTTGGGAGTGACAACATTCAACTTGCTCCCGAAGCTTCATTTTCTACCTCTCATTAAGTTTCAAACGAGTGGTCGAGATCGGCCAAGACTTGCCCCCTTTCATCTATAAAAGCCACTTCTCCCTTTGCATGAGTCATCACTTTTTCTCCTCCAGTCTCTCTTTTACTCTCCTAAAAAAGGTCTCAACACTCCTTGGAATCCGACGATCTCACCATATTGTCGAGCTTGCTCCATCCCGCCGAGCTTGCATCATTCGCGGGGATTGCATCATCTCGCCGAGCTTGCACCGTCCCGACGAGCTCGCCTACATCGAAAACCACACACACGCCGACTCCTCTACCTCATACGCGACATGTCAGACGACTTCATGGGTACGTCGCTCTAACTCAAGCCTTGTTTATCATCATCATTCTTGCCCTTATTATTATTTTTTAATTTATTATTTTAGGCGACCTCCTTGCATATACTCGTCGATTATTGTCCGGCCTTTGTACTCATTAGAACCCCATGCCTCTAGAACTAACACGAGCACCTCCCTTCATTCTCCTTCACATTCTCCACCCTCAGGACCACCTTACTTCACTAACTCTCCCAACCATGTCGTACGCGGCGATAAAGTAAAATGGGTGCCTTCTCCTATGAGGGCTACATATCTGAACCCCCATCTCCTCTTATTCGGATGGCCAAGTGACCAAACTTATTAAAAAGATCGAGGTGCCTCGAGAGTGGGATCTCAAGGTCCCTCGCCCCGGATATTCGTACAATAACCCTCCGCCCGACTTCTACACCTTCTTCCTTGGCCAGGCCGAGGCCGGGTTGAAATTCCCTTTACACGCCCACTTGCTCGAGATGAGCCGACTATACCGTCTGCCCTTGAACCATTTCGCTCCCAACGCAATTTGCCTTCTCATTGGTTCATCATGGTATGCCGAGCTCGCCTCGGCAATCTTGACTCCAAATCATGTTTCTATTGTTATGGCTAAAATCCTCGAGCGACTACGTCTCGCCGCCACAAGGCCTATTTCTTGGAACAACCTAGTCAAAGATCCATAACTAGAAAAATAAATTTTATTTCGTCCGTCCTTCTCCCGACACCTTTGACTTCACGTACAAGTGGCTACCCGAGCTACCTAGTCAGCGCAAAAACCCAAGGCGGAATGCCGAATATGACACCCTCATCCGTCAATGGAATGAACGACCGCTTCACGTGGTGAAGCTAACCTCCAATAGCCAACTTCTCCACCACTTCAAGCTATCGGGTTGTGCTGTCGAGCCTATGGACGATATAGGCCACGAATTCCCACCATGTCGAGTACCCCCCTTTTTTATGCTAGTTTTATATATATATAAACATCATACTTGTTACTAGTGTTGATACCCGTGCGATGCACGGGATGCAATTTAAAAAATATTTTTTATTTACATATTAAAAAATTATTTAAGACAATATGAAATTATATTCTCTATAATATTCTATTCAAAAATAATATGACATTTATTTATTTACTATTATTGTTAATTTCTATTTTATATATTTCTTTTTTGTAGTTTTTGACTATTTAATATATAAATTTTATTATTTTATATATTTCTCCAATATGATATTTGCATACAAATTACTTGTATATACTTATAAATTTGTCGTTTATCATAGTCTTATATTTTTTTTAACACTTCATAATTTGCGCATTGATTGATAATTGACCAACGTTTACCCCATATTTATCTTTCGCTTAATTGTTACGCATAGTTTAAAATGGCGACGCCTCGAGGCGAGGCGACCGGGGCGAGGACTCCATCGTATCGCCACTGCCCGAGGCGACCATGTTCAAGAGGCGCTCGCTTCGGGTCGCCTCGGCTCGCCTTTTTTCATGGCGAGAGGCGATTGTGTGGCGCGCCTCGACTCTTTTCAGAGTAAATAAAAGCGCAACCCATTTTTGTTTAGACGCAGCCCACTTTTTTTTTTTTTTTAAAAGAAAACGTGTAACCTTGGAAAGCGACTAAAATTAAAACTCTGCCTCCTTGGAAAGCGAATAAAATTAAAACGCATAGAGGCAGACCAAGGGTTTTATTTTATCGGATTGAAAAAACAAAAGCAAAAGGTTTTCACCTTCAATTCTAGCTCGACCTGCTGCGCCGCTCCATCCCCAGGTAAAGGTTGGGTTTTTTTCATTTTTGTATATGTTTGTTTATTATTTTTCTGTTATACTAATTGTGGAATTTGTGAGGGAGAAGAAAGGGGTTTTAAAAATTAAATGTGACAGAGCATTTATATTTAGACGCGTGTGAATAACATCAATTGTTTAGAATGGACCCATTAATTTGATAAAAATTTGTCTTTACTTGTGGGAATTAATTGAAAATATAATAATTATATATGTTTGTTTATTATTTTTCTTATTGCTTCTCTTTTGTTGCTTATTTTTAGTACTTAACTATGTGGGTGTCAAACTTAAAACTTTATGTATTATTTCTACTTTTAGTGTTTCTGCTATGGACTTGTTGCTTTATTTCTAGTATTTAACTATGTGTGCCAATTTCTATGTGTGGCTGTGCTATTGACTTGTGTTTCATTTGTGTTTCTTGCCTTTTTTGGAGATATTTGATGTTATTTTTATCATTTGAACATAAATATATAATTGCACAAGCTATAATATTGTTTTGTTACATTTTGGTGACATGTGTAGCCGAGGCCTCGCCATGGCGAATCGCCTCGTCTCGTGGCGAGGCCAAGGGCCAATCGCCTCGCCATTCGCCATTTACAACTATGTTGTTACGTGCATTAAATGTTAAAAACTTTGATAAATAAATTTTAATTTTTAGTAACTTTAATCTTTATGCAACACACACATTTTTATTGTTGAATATTTTATTTTTATGTGTTTATTTTCTATTTACATTTATTTTTTTATTTCATTTTTTCAACCTATATAATGAGTTACATAGTATCTATTCGAATATATAGATATATTATATATTTTAATAATTACAATGTGCTATAATTTAAATTATTATACATTGCTTTTTTGTTAATTTTTTTTTTCATTTATAAAATAGTATACAGGAAAAAAAAAATATATTTTTAAAAAATTGAATAGTTTTTTAAATTACATAGATACTTCTAAGGTGAAATTTATAACTCTGAATTGCACCCAACCATCAAATTTTATTTTTGTTAGTATATTATTTCAATTTTCAATAGTATTATCACTACATATGATATATTATTTAAATTATTTATTAAGTTATTATGATTTAAACATAGTTATTCTATTATTTTGTTAAATATTTTAAATACTTCTGAATATTTGAGTATAATAAATTAAATTAATACCTACAACCATAGA